TTTCCCTACTCTGACTCTGTGTTTTCTTATTTTATGTCATTTATTCTTTGGTCAGGCTATGGTGTTCAGTATGACTACTTAGATCCCCGTCAGATCACTCCTTCCCTGGAGACTCACTTGGTTCAACGCCTCTTCTTTGCTGGACAGATAAATGGCACCACTGGTTATGAGGAAGCTGCAGCTCAAGTAAGAGGTGGTTTTTTGGTGTTACTGTAAACTGAAACAAACTATTTGACTTGTGTTCCTCCTTTTAATGTCTGTTGAATTAACTATTCAACTCACAACTATAATAGAAGACTATTTCTGTTTCAGGATATATGGAGATGGCTATGCTTTTTGTTGTTGTTTTTGGTTTTGAGAGGTTTTTACTATAGGGCATGTGCACTCACCAAAGAGACAGAGAGACAGAAAGCGAGAAATCACCCTCCAGGGGGATGGCCACGCCACAATCCCTTCTTCTCCATTCTTCTCTTGGAATCTTGGGCACACATGCACATGCACCTGGCGTGAGTTTAAGCCACCGGCCTGGGACTCAAACTGCGGTTGGCTATATGGGAGTCCAGCAACATAGCCTTTATGCCAACTGCTAGTCCCAAGATGGCTATGTAGTTAAAAGAATTTTTAAAACACTTGCCGAGCCAGTGTGGCATAGTAGTTAAGGCAACTGGATCTCACATGGCCTATTGCACAGTTCTAATCCTGGACCTGGCTGCTTGAGCAACACACTGGATGCACATGCATGAGTACTCAAAATCCTGAAAGGCAGGAGAAATGGAGGAGAAGGGATTGTAGTGTGACCATTTCCCATGGTGGGTGCTTTCTCACTCTCTCTCTCCAGCAAGTACACATGCCCTCTGGCAAAACTAAAAAACAAAAAAAACACTCATGTCTTTGTTACTATTTTCTGAGCTCCTAGATCTAACTTCATATTTTGGCTAAGGAAAAATTAGTTGGTTTTTGTTTCATTTGGTTTGTTTTTTTAATTTGCCAGAAGGCACATGAGCTCTCCAGAGACAGAGAGAGGGAGAAGGAGAAAGCACCCTTCCCATGGGGCAGTCATACCACGATCCCTTCTCCTCCGTTTCTCCATCCTGTTGCAATTATGGACATACACATACCTGTGAGTGAAATGTTTTTCAAGCTACTGGGGCAGGAATTCAAACTGTGCTTACAGCCATGTGAAATCTGGCTCCCTTAACCACCACACCATGGAGTGGATCTAAAGAAATGAGTTCTTGTCTTTTTCTTTTCTTTCTTTCTTTTTTTTTATTTTTAAGAATTACTTATTTAATTTGATTTATCATTATTATTATTTTTTAATTTGCTACAGGGCATGTATTCTTACCAGAGAGAGAGAGAGAGAGAGAAAGTCTGGGCAACCATGTGGGAGCCTAGCACTTTAATCACCACACCACCTGCTAACCCCCCAAAATTAGTTCTTAACCTGTTGAAAAATATCATTGTTTCTTATAAGTCAGAAATTATGTTATTCTTATTTGTAAATGGGAAAAAGCTAGAAAAATTTCACAGGTGGGTTTTTCAAAAAGGATTAGTCCACACAGGCTTATCAGGAATATTAGATATTTGGGAAAATGGTGGATCCTAGCATGTTAAAATGGTACATTACCCTTATTCTGCCTCCGAATATGAGTCACATTTTCTACCTCTATTATATCCCTTATGCCAGTGACTGCTTTCTTCCTGTCCCATGCTGTTTTTCCAGATAGTGTTATGAATAAGCATAGGTCTTTATTCAGTTCATAATGACATTTTAAACATTTCAGTCCTCTTGTAGGGTGTGGTAGCTGGAATCAATGCCAGTCTTCGGGTCCATGGGAAGCCTGCCTTTGTCGTTAGCCGAACCGAAGGCTACATAGGAGTCTTGATTGATGACCTCACCACGCAGGGCACCAATGAACCATACCGCATGTTCACCAGCCGAGTGGAGTTCCGTCTGTCACTGCGCCCTGATAATGCCGACAGCCGGCTCACGTTCCGAGGTAACTTTTCACTGAGTCCTACAACCTGGTTTGCTCTTTTTCAAAACCTCTTCCTTCACATTCTCCTTTCTCTTTTCTAGGATATAAGGAAGCCGGCTGCGTGTCCCAATACCGATATGAAAGAGCTTCATGGATGAAGTCTTCTTTAGAAGAAGGCATTTCTGTATTGAAATCCATTGAATTTTCAAGCTCTACATGGAAGAAGTTAATCCCAGAGGTTTCAATAAGTGTTGGTAGAAGTCAGCCCATCAGGTAGTCTTTTTTTGTTTGTTTTTGGTAAGATTTTTGCCACTGGGCACGTGTGCTCACAGAGACAAAGAGAGGGAAAGTGAGAAATCACCCTGAGAGGGGATAGCTATGCCAAGTCCCTTCTCCGTCCTCCTCTCAGGGTTTTGTGCATGCACATACACACACTCACACACATGAGGTTTCTTTTCAAACTGCCTGCCTGTTCTAGAACCACAGTCAGCCATATGGGATCCAGCTGCCTTAACCACTCCATCTGGTGGGCCTTCAAGCCTCTTTTATAAGGACATGAATCTCATTCATCAAGGCTCTTCCCTCAGACCTAATCACCTTCCACAGACCCCACCTCTTAACACTATCACATTAAGTGTTAGGCTCCATAATGTGAATCTTGGGGAGAATACCAACATTCAAGCCATCACTGTGAATATATTTGTTTACCAGCTAAGTGACACTGGGAAATGATAGTAGCTTATATAGTTTACAATTTACTCAGTCCTCTAGCTGTTGATTTGTTTAAATTTAGGAGTGTTCCATTATTTTAAAATTTTGACAAAGAATTTGTAACAGTATGCTTTTTCTCCCCAAATATTGCCCTATTCCAAATTTATAACATTGGAACTTGTATTAAATGTGACTACTGTGGGGACCAGCAGTTAGCGTAATGGCTATGTCACTGGACTCTCATGTAGTCAACCGCGGTTCGAGTCCTGGACCCAGTGGCTTAAACTCACGCTGGGCGTGTGTGCGTGCATACCCAAGATCCCGAGAGGAGAATGGAGGAGAAGGGATTGTGGCTTGGTCATCCCCCCTGGGGGGTGATTTCTCACTTTCTGTCTCTCTGTCTCTCTCTCTGTCTTTCTAGCGAGTGCATGTGCCCTATAGCAAAAAAAAAAAAAAAAAAAAAAAAAAAAAACCTCTACAAAAAAAAAAAAGTGTGACTACTGTGTATTGAGGTAATACTGAGAATGGGGGAATAATTATTTTCAGTGTAAGTCTAGGATGCCAGTCTAGATGATAAACACATGAAAAAGGATGTCATCAGCTTTATAGTTTTACCAGGGAAGCTATTTTGTTTAGAGATTATTATTATTATTATTTGCTAAAGGGCAGAGGCATGTACTCCGTGTGAGGGAGAAGAGAGTGAGGAAGCACTCCCACAACACACACACAGAAGATGACCATGCCACAGTCCCTTCTTCTTTCTCCCTCCCCTTGGGACTTCATGATTCCCAGCACGTGAAAGAATGACTCAGTCACAGGACACTGAAACTTAGCATGACTTCACTATTATGCACACTTCCTATTCTTAGGGAATTCGGTGAAACTTTGTCATTGGGAACCTTGTTATTCTGTCCCTACATGAAAGAGATGATGAAAGGATTTTAGCTATGCAATCCTTACAAGCAACTTAATTCTCTTAAGGGAGAAAACTGGGGAGAATTAAACTTTAAATCTTATCAAAGTCCTAATGTTTTATGGATATTGCTGCATTTACTCAATGTACTTGGAAAGAAAAGTATGTTTTGATACTATTTATTTGAGATTTTGTTTTATTTGAGGGAATCTTCTTCTATCTGCCTTATATGAATGATTCCTTATGTTAACGAAACATTTGTGTATTTTGCAGTGCTTTAGAGGTTCTGAAGTATGAGGAAGTTGACATGGAGTTATTAGCCAAGGCCGTTCCAGAGCTCCTTGAGAAGTATGCTGAATGTAATGAGTTGGCCAAAAGACTGAAAATAGAAGGTAGGAAATAAATATATTTTTTTTCCTTGATACTTATACTCTTCTCCAAATTATGAATGGACAGTAGACCCAGTAAAACAGCAGATGCCAAGAATCATTATTACTATAAAATCAGCATAGTGTTATTAGATTCTGTGCTACTCAAATTGTGGTCCCCAGCTGTCAGTGTTGTTACACCTGGGAGCTTGTAGAATCTTAGGCACCACCTCAGACTTACTCAGTGAGAATCTGCTTTTTTTTTTTTGGAGGGATTTTTTTGCTATAGGGCGCGTGCGCTCGCCAGACAGAGAGAGACACAGAGACAGAAAGCAAGAAATCACCCCCCAGGGGGGATGGTCATGCCACAATCCCTTCTCCTCCATTCTCCTCTCGAGATCTTGGGCACGCACGCACACACGCCCGGCACGAGTTTTAAGCCACCGGGTCCGGGACGCAAACCGCGGTTGACTCTGTGGGAGTCCAGCGACATAGCCATTACGCTAACTGCTGGTTCCCGTAGAATCTGCTTTTTTTATTTTATTTTTTTAAAGGTTTTCACCATAGGGTGTGCTCACTTGCCATAAAGACAAGAGACAGAAAAGGGGAAAGTGAGAAATCACCCCCAGGGGGGATGGCCATGCTGCAACCCCTTCCCCCCCATTCTCCACTCAAGGTTTTAGGTATGCACACAGATGCACATGTCATGAGTTTTGTTTTTTCCTTTGGAGAGGTTTTTCTGTAGGGTGCATGTGCTCACCAGAAAAGACAGAGAGAGACAGAGACAGAAAGCAAGAAATCACCCTCTAGGAGGGATGGCCACTTCGCAATCCCTTCTCCTCCATTCTCCTCCTGGGATCTTGGGCACGCATGCACACGCGCCCAGCGTGAGTTTAAGCTGCTGGGTCCGGGACTTGAACCGCGGTTGACCACATGGGAGTCCAGTGACATAGTCCAGCCAACTGCTGGTCCCAATGCTTGCAATTTCTAAATAAAGAAACTGAGGCCCAATAATGTTATGATGATGTTATGCCTATAGTCAGAGGGTAATTCATTGGTAGAGCCAGGCTCAGAGATGAGATTTTCTAGATGCAAGTGATGCGAAAGAAATGCTACTTTCAGAAAGGGCTTCCTTTCTGGAACAGGACAGAATGACCACCTCATTCTGTTTTGGAAGCAGCACAGTCTATTGCATTTTTGCATCATGACTTTTCCAACAACCCAGTAGATTGTTAAAACAGATTTCAAATTTACTCTTCTAAGAATGGAATTTCTTAATTACAAAACAGTTGCTGACTTGTCTTATCTCTTGTCACTTCTGAATAAAACCTTAACTAAATTATTTAAATGATGTGTTGTCAACCAAGAAATTCTGCTTTTTGAAATTAGTTTTGATGAACCAGTAGATGGCGTAATGGTTATGTTACTGGGCTCCCACATAGTTGACCATGATTCAAGTCTCAGACCTGGTGGCTTAAAACTCAGGTACATGTGTGTGCGTGTCCAAAATTCTGAGAGGAGACTGGAGAAAGGACTGTGGCATGGCCACCCCACCGGGGTTGGGGGAGATTTCTTGCTTTCTGTCTCTCTCTCTTTCCAATGAGTGCATGTTCCCTACAACAAAAATCTCTCTAGAAAAATAGTAATTACAGTTTTGAGCCAGTCCTGACACCTAGTCATCAAAGAAGTTTGATCCCACATGGTCCACTATGGTCCAAATCCCAGTCTGGTGGTTTAAAAAACATACCAACTATATGTGTATATGTGCCTCAAATCCTGACAGGAAGGAGAAATGGAGGAGAAGAGTTTGTGGTTTGACCGTGTCCCATTGGGATGTGTTCTATGACTCACCCTCACTCAGGTGAGCATACACCTCCTCTGACTTATAAACAAACAAAAATAAATTTATAGTAGTATAGCGAAATAATTCAGAAAACTTTCCTTAGAGAAATACCTTATCTATAAGACTTGAAAGTCACACCCACAGTCTAGTGAAGGAAATGTTCCATCCAAGGTTTGTGATGGCAGGGAAAGCTAATTTCTTTTTTAATTTTCTAGATATTTGACATGAAAAGGAAATGTATTAAACTACTAGTGAGAATGTTGTAGTTAATATGTAAGATACTCCCTTTATCTTAGCATCAGTTTCCTCATTTGTGAAAGGGAATACCTACCCTATCCACTTCCGGGTGTTGAGATGAGTTCCGAATGAAGTGATTTTATGGTAAATTATTAGCATAATCCAGGTATCATTACATAATTCTAATTTTGTTCACCAGCCAACTATGAATCAGTATTGTCGCATCAGTTACAAGAAATAAAGGAAGTTCAGCGAGACGAAGCTCTCCAACTGCCAAAAGACTTAGATTATTTGACTATCAGGGATGTATCTTTGTCACAAGAAGTTCGAGAGAAACTACATTTTACTCGTCCACAGACGGTAAGAAAACAGGCAGTAATATGGAGCAAGTTATAAATAAATAAAAAACCAATGCTTTAATTTTTGAAACCTGGGAATTACAATGGTCGTTTAAGTAATGGGAGTCCAGTGACATAACCATTACACCAACTGCTGGTCCTAAATTTTAAAGACTGTCCCTGGACTCCCATGTAGTTAACAGCGGTTCAAGTCCCAGACCCGGTGGCTTAATCTCACGCCAGGTGCATGTGTGTACTTGCCCAAAATCCCAAGAGGAGAATGGAGGAGAAGGGATTGCGGCATAGCCATGCCTCCTGGGGGGGTGATTTCCCACTTTCTGTTTCTCTGTCTCTCTATCTTTCTGGTGAGCACCCGCACCCGATAGCAAAAACCTCTCAAAATAAGTAAATAAATAAAAGTTTAAAGACTGAGTGACTATATTTATTGATTCTAATATACACATTTTCCCACATTTTAACATCTCTAAAATTGGGTTGTAAATTGATGGTGTATAATGGTTTAATGGGCAGTAAACAAAGGGGCATTTTACAAAAGTATAATACATAAAAAAAATAATGGGGAAAAAATAAAACTGTTTTTATAGGGATATAATATGGTTATCATGGAAACCAGACAGATAGACCTTAGATATTATTTTTTCTTTTTCTTTTCTGCCTTAGGGCACATTCACTCACCAGAGAGACAGACAGAGACAGAGACAGAGGAAAAGTGAGAAATCACCCCCCAGGAGGATGGCCAAACCACAATCCCTTTTCTTCCATTTTCCTACTGGGATTTTGGGCACACATGCGCATGTGCCTAGCATGAGTTTCAAGTCACTGAGTCTGGGACATGAACCGTGGTCAGCCCTGTGAGAGTCCAGCAACATAACCACTATACCATCTCCTGGCCCCAATAGGCCTTAGATTTTATAACTCTTTTTTTTTTTTTTTAAGATTTTTTTTTTTTTTTTGCCATAGAGCACATGTGCTTGCTGGAGATGTACAGAGACAGAGAGAGGGATAGTGAGCAGTTACTCCCCTGCCCCCAGAAGGGATGGCCACACCACAATCCCTTCTCCTCCATTTTCCTCTTGGGATTTTGGGCACATATGCACATGTGCCTGATGTGATTTTCAAGCTACCTGGTCTGGGAGTTGAACCATAACCACCATGACACCTACTGGTCCCAGATTTTATAAATCTTTCCCCTCCTCTTCATTTTAGGTTGTTTTATGAATACCCATAGCCCACTCAGCCCAGCAGCACAGCCACTAGCCACACATGGCTGTTCACATTCTCCCATTGAGCTCTTCGGTCTCACCAGCCACATTCCAAGTGCTCAGTAGCCACTTGTGACTAGTGGCTACCACATTGGTTGGCAAATTGTTATGATGCACATGTTACAGAAAATTCCCATTATCCCCGTAAGTTCAGTTGAACAGCACTGGCCATAGGAGTTCACAAAACCTTAACCAGAATTCCAGAATACTAAAGGCTTTGAAAAAAATTTGCTACAGGGGCTGCAGGTGGAATGGTAGTTAAGGATGTTGGACTCCCACATGACCTATCATGGTTCGAGTCCTGGACCTAGTGGCTTGCTTTCTTGCTTTCTCTCTCTTTCTATCTCCCTCTCTCTCTCTCTTCCGCTCTGGTCAAATTAAAATAAATAAAGTTAAAATTTTAAAATATTGCTACAGATTTGGTGGCAAAACTGACTTTAGCTGACATGAGGGTTACATGGTCTTTATACCACAGAGAGGGAATATTCATATGTTTCACTGCAGAAATATTAATGGTATTAAAATTGTGAGGTACTGCTTGATACATCACTAGGGATGTTATATTATATGCAGTATATGCAAAATATTTGGTTTTCTTTATTACAAAAACACATGGCCTAAAGGATTTCAATTAAGGGACTTTGGATCTATATTTAAAGAAAGGAATTCTGTATTTTCTTTGTTTAATGGCAAGAAAAAAATATGTATTCTAACATTTGTTAATTACGTGATCTTGCACAAGTCATTTAAACTTCTATGAGCCTCAGTTTCCCATTCGTAAAACGAAGACATGAATAATCACCACATGTCCCTATCTGCTTCATAAGGCTCTTTCAAAGTTAGGTTAAGATAGTGATCTTGGGGCATGGCTGAGTTATGCACACTGGAAAGACACCTCTGCACAGAGGATGAGCCCACATGGAAGGCCCAGGTTTGCTTCCAGGCCCAACCTAAAACAAGCCTGGCACAGCAATCCAAACTAGCCAGGGGGAAGGGGCAGGAAGAGATCATAACATGGCAGAATCCTGACAAAAAATTAATCTCTCTCCCCTTTCCCTTTCACACATAGGTAAATAAAGTTTTCAAAAAAGATAATTAGGAAAATATTTTATAAACTACACTGTACAGGTCATTGTTAAGAGGCAAATAGTTTTGATTTGACATGCTCACTTATGTTTCTCTTGTGGTTTAAATTTTTAGATCGGGGCTGCTAGTCGTATTCCGGGAGTGACACCTGCTGCCATCGTCAATCTCCTCAAGTTTGTGAAGACCACTCAGCGAAGACAGGCAGCTATGAGTAGATTGCCCAAAACTAATCAATACTTATGTGAGACTGACAGACTTCAAGGAGAGTTATAGCTGTTAATTCATTGACAACTTTTACTGTATGAGTAATCAATGTAAGAATATAAATAAGAGATTAAAACTGTTTAGCACCTGTTCGAGTAGTTTACTAAGTAATTATGGGTTTGTCATTAATCTATGAAAAGGACAAAGATTATATTGTGCTTTTTTGTGTATCTAAAAAAATAGTTGTGAACACTCTGTTCTCTTTCTCTTAGGAGCTTTAATACAGTGAGTGAGATATAACTTTGTGCATTGTTCATCATGAGACATAACATGAACCTAAAAGAAAATCCGTTTTTTTTTTAAAAATCTCAATTTATAAATTTTCCTTCTCAGAAGGACATTGTCTATTAAGTCTACCAAATTAAAAGTCTTATCTTTTAACCTGTTTTGAAAGTTAGTAATCTTGCCTAGTTATATAGGTTCGGAAGCGATATCAAAGCCCTTAAATACTTAGAACTAAAACAATGAGACTATATAAAATCATCCAGAATCATTCGGTGGGACAGTACTGTGACCTTTTGGTCTAGGGAGCTAGTTCCACATGGCCCATCACACTGTTTGAGTCCTAGACCTGATAACTTGAAAAATACTTTGGCTAGGGACCAGCAGTTAGCGTTATGGCTATGTCGCTGGACTCCCACGTAGTCGACCGCGGTTCGTGTCCCGGACCCGGTGGCTTAAAACTCACGCTGGGTGCATGTGCGTGCGTGCCCAAGATCCCGAGAGGAGAATGGAGGAGAAGGGATGCGGCGTGACCATCCCCCCTGGGGGCTGATTTCTTGCCTTCTATCTCTATGTCTCTGTCTGTCTGGTGAACACACGTGCCCTATAGCAAAAACTTCTCCAAAAAAAATAAAAAAAAGAAAAAGAAAATACCTTGGCTACATGTGCATAAGGGTGGAGGAGGGATTGCAGTTTGTTTATGCCTACTTGGGAGGAGGTGCTTTCTCCCTCCTCCTCTTTGTCTGTTTGTCTCTCTCTCTGGTGAGTGCATGGCAAAACCAAAACAAAACTAAACTAACAAAAACTAATTTCCAATATTGGAATATAGTGTGTAGGGTGAAACTTCCAAGATTTCTGTAATTCTTCAAGCAATCATCAGTAGTAGTTGTTTTTGAACATTAATAGAAAGCCCTATAAAATAGAAAGTTTGGAAATCACTGTTATTTCCTATCATGTACAGCATTGGAACTTATTTTTTGGTAACCTGGTTAAGGGAGAATAAAAGTTTTTTTTTTTTTTTTTTAATCATAAAATGATACTTTCTTATGAAACTGTCATGGTCATAATTTTTTAACACTGAAGACAGATTTATAGTAACTGATGAGTAGTGTTTCCCTGTTTTTAATTCACATTGACAGAAAAGAAAAAATAGTACTGGTACCCTTCTTCCTCGTCAGTACCTCGATGGTCTGTGGTTGCAAGGTTAATAGCTAAGCCATTCAGCCTTTCTGGATAGACTAAGGAAAGGAACACAGCCAATCTGGCTAGAGCACCTTTTTTTTTTTTTTTTTTTTTTTTTTTGGAGAGGTTTTCACTATAGGGTGCGTGCACTCGCCAGACAGACAGAGAGAGACATAGAGACAGAAAGCGAGAAATCACCCCCCAGGGTGGATGGTCATGCCGCAATCCCTTCTCCTCCATTCTCTTGGGATCTTGGGCACGCACGCACATGCGCCCGGCGTGAGTTTTAAGCCACCGGGTCCAGGACGCGAACCGCGTTCGACTACATGGGAGTCCAGCGACATAGCCATTACGCTAACTGCTGGTTCCCCTAGAGTGCCCTTCTTTTCCCTGCAGTGGTAACCTGGATCTCTGGTGTTAGCCCAGAATGAAGCTCCCATGTCATCTTCAGGTCAAAGCAGATGCTTCCACGGGTCCCAAAGACAACTGTAGTTGAAGATCTGTATGTTAACCCTCATTATAGTATAGGTGTGGATCAACCAAATTTCTTACTATTCTAATTACATGTGGCCATTTGGGTGTAGCTCAATTTTCAAGGGTTTGTTTCATCTAATTTCAGTCTTTCCAGAAAGCAGTCATATCTGTAACACATTGAAGGGACCAGCAGATGGTGTAATAGTTATGTCACTGGACTCCCATGTGGCCAACCGCTGTTCAAGTCCCAGATCTGGGGGCTTAAAACTCATGCTGGCCACATGTGTGTGCATGCCCAAAATCCTGAGAGAATGGAAGTGAAGGAGTTGTGGTGTGGCCATCTCACACCTGGGGGATGATATTTTGCTCTCTGTCTCTCTAGCGAATACATGTACCTATAGCAAAAATCTCTTTAAAAAAAAAAAAAGAATTTGTAAGGTTGGATTATTTAGCAGTGATGAATTCTTTCTGATACTTTTTTAATAATTTCAAAACTTGATAACTTTTCTTATTCTTTATAGCTATTCTTGGGCAAAAATTCTTATTAGAGATAGTATTAATTATAATACTATATATCTTACAAATTATTTTGTTCTACTTATTTAGCACAAAAAGGAAAATCAATGTTTTTAATTTATTTTTTGCAATGGAATATAAGAGTAAAAGCAATGAATGGGGTGCCTATTGAATGGGATATAATAAAAATCTGTCTTGAGGAAACAGCAAATTCCTAAATGCTTTTGGAGGTTCATGACAGCTACAATTTGGGTCTAGTATAAAGTTTTTAAATATATTTATAAATCTAAAGTTTCAGGTTTCTAACACTATTTCTTTTTTTTTTAATCAACTAATTTATTTTATATACTTTCACCGAACATCACCACAGCATACTAAATGCAATTTTCCAGCCAGAATACACTGTAGAGTGGCTTAATCATACATGTTATCATCAACAAATAATTTTCCATTTCTTGTTTAATATATACATACATATATATATATATATTCCCCACACACACACGCCTCTTTCCCATCCTCCTCCCACCCTGTCTCTGGTATCTGTAGTTGCTTTCCATTCCTTTATTCTTTCCCACGTTGTATTGATTCAAAAAATATCTTAATCTAAATACTTTCAATAGTAAGGTCAGCTGATATATACATATCTGTGAACAAATGTTGACTTTAGGCATGAAACCCTGTGGGTAGAATGAATATACTATAAAATAGCACATAGCTGAGGCTATATAGCTTACTGTGGTTACTAAATAGGTATTTTTTTAAATACACGTTTTAATTTTAAGAAAGGCAGTTTTAGCTTTAATCAATCAAAATAAAAAAAATGTTAAGAGAACTTTGCTTAATATTTAAAGCCAAGAAACAAGATTCTGTCCAAATAGTAGGTACCTTTCCACAACTCGAGAGAAGACAAAACTCCTTGACACTAGAAAATAAAGCACAGAAGGTCAGTAATGTTTTAATCAAAAGTCGTAAAATTCCATTTCATCATTCAAACTCATGTACTTTATCTTCTGTTGTGGTCTGATCTTTCCTTTTAAATTCTGGAAGATAATGTTCAACTCTGGACTTGTCCCTACCATTAAGCTGACCATTTTCTTAGCTGTTTTAGAACCCTTATTTCTGTTTTTCTGACTTTAGTTTTCCTGAGATAGCACTCCTTTCAGAACTTCTCAGAGAGTTGGTCTGGTGTTGGTAATTCTTTCAGGTTTTATCTGAGAACGTTATTGTCTTCTCTTCCCATCTGAAGAATAATCTTGCCAGATATAGTATTCTTGGTTGAAATTGTTTTTCATTCAAAACTTTGAATATATTTTCTTACTCTTTCCTTGCTCACATTGTTTTCAATGAGAGGTCCGCTGTGAGCCTGATGGGATATCCTTTGTAGATAACTTGACATTTCTCTCTTGCCAGTCTGAGTATCGTGTCTTTGTCTGTGGTTTTGGTCATTCTGGCCATAATGTGTCTTGGAGAAAATCTTCTTGGGTTGATCCTATTTGGGGTCCTTTGTATTTCTTGGGTCTGGATCTTTGAATGCCTCTCCAGGTTTGGGAAGTTTTCTTCTAGGATTTTATGGAATAGATTGTCAATGCCCTTATTAGTCTCTTCACCTTCTGGGATACCAGTTATCCAGATGTTTGGACGTTTAATGGTATCTAGTATTTCTCGTGTATTATTCTCATTTTTTTGGTGCTATTTTCTCGGTCTTTGTGGTGGATTTTACTAGTCTAGCAATCCTATCTTCTACATCTGGGATTCGATTTTCTGTGTGATCTAGTCTGCTTTTAATACTTTCAAAGGAAGTTTTAACTTCCTGTATTATAGCCTTCATCTCCCACAGTTCCATTTGATTCTTTTTTATGGTGTGTATTTCCTCTTTCAGCTCTCGCAAGAGCTTCCTCACCTCTTGGAACTCATCAACTTTTTTCTTCTGGTGTTCATTGTCTCTCTTCTCTTCCATCTCTGTCAGTTTTGTCATTATGAGTACTTTAAATTCTTTATCAGACATTTCCATGAGTTCCATTGTAGTGTCTATGGATGAAGAGGAGCTATTCTTGGGGGACCAGCAGTTAGCCTAATGGCCATGTCCCTGGACTCCCACGTAGTCGACCGCGGTTTGCGTCCCGGACCCGGTGGCTTAAAACTCACGCCAGGCGCGTGTGTGTGAGTGCCCAAGATCCTGAGAGGAGAATGGAGGAGAAGGGATTGCAGCATAACCACCTGCCCTGGGGGGTGATTTCTCGCTTTCTGTCTCTATGTCTCTGTCTGGCGAACGCACGCGCCCTATAGCGATAACCTCTCTAAAAAAAAAAGAAGAGTTATTCTTTTCCCTTGGAGGTGAGGTGTTTTTTTGGTTTCGCATATTTTTTGTGCCCCTGTGGTGATTTCTGGTCATCTGATGGGTTATCCGTTTCTTCCTGATTTCTAGAAGATCATCTGAGCGATTAGAGGCATACAGGAGGATGTGGTCTGCAAACTTTTTGGCGCTGCATTTTTCTCCAGGAGCTCTACCAGGGTAAATTCTCAGCAGAACATCTTCATTGCCTTACCTCTGAAATCACTAGGTTTCAGCTCTCATGGCAAACTCAGTCTTCTGGCTCACCCTTTCTGTTTGCCTTATCCCTGAAATCACTAGATCTCAGCTCTCATGGCAGACTCCCAGGTTTGAACACTGTTTTATTTTATTTACAAGAAATGT